GGATTCCGGGGATGGAATCCTGCACAAATAAATAAACAACGCCAGTAATTGAAATAGAAAAATATGTGTATTAAGCGTAAGAATACAAACTTGAAATGAAGATTTGTAGTCCAGGAATGCGGGTTAGTAGAAAAATATATGTACAAGTCTCTGTAAGTGTAGCCGTAATTATCTCTCTTTCTGGACTCTGGTATAACTTTAAGTGAACACCCTGTCTCAACGTTTTTTGTCACGCTATCTCTCCGTAGTATAAGTATACCTTGGACGAGTCCATCTTGTGTACAAGGGGTGAGTGCCACAATAGTTATGGAAGGCGTTGTGACATAATTTAATGTTTAATAAACGAAAGTAAGTAAAAGAAGGAGGCACGGTGGAGTAATGGATAGAGGCTCGAATTGAGTAATCGAAGAGACGAGTTCGAATCCACTTCATTCACTTACGTCTTAATAATCTTGGGAAAGATATGAATCTCCCCGCACCACATTTATTTGAAAATAGCAAGATACACCAGGTTCTATAGCATAGGATGGCAGCTGGTGTACTGCGGGAAAAAATCTGCCTTTCAGTCATGTATCGAAAGATATATGATCGCCTAAGCGTGTATCGCGCATGGCACATAACTGATTGAGTAAAAAATGTTCATAAGTTTATATATACATATATATATATATATATATATATATATATATATATATATATATATATGTGTGTGTGTGTGTGTGTGTTTTTTCTTGATACACGCTTACGTAATCTTTCGATACAAGACTGAGGAGGCAGATTTTTCCCGCAGTATGTTGCCATTTCTTTCTGCGGTAGACCAGTTTCCATACAAAGTTATAAAACCCGGCCTTTCTTGCTATTTATCTATAGCTGGGTGGAGAAGAAGAGGGTTCATACCTTTCCCAAAGATATTAGCATGTCAGTGAAACGTAATGGATTCGATTGGAATTCGAACTCTGCTCTCCGATCTTTTCGATTTTTAGCTATCACGACAATTTTAATAAACTGCTGAATTTTTTCTCAATATCTAGTCAAACAATTCAGAAGCACGTTTGATTTATTAATTAAAAATAAAATATGTTTTTGCTATTTCGGCATTCAGATTATTGTACAATATGTTTAATTTCTTGTTCGGGATCCTTCTGCTATCTTTCAGGCAACTTTGCTTTACCATTCTAAAAATATTTTATTTTCCAAAGGAAATACATTTTCTAGATATCTTTTCCTTTCTGCGAAAAACAAAATGAATAAAGATCCGGAGAAAAAATATCTGGCAGATATTTACGGTGAGTGGAAATATACATAGCAATTCATAAGAATTTCTGTCTGATCACTAAAATGGATCAGTTGACTCAATGAAAATATCCTCAACGTTAATAATGCGTAGTTGCTTGGTTTTCCAAAATGTCAACCATGTATTTAATGTCGAAATCTCTATCTATAAAAGGCAGGGTGTGTGTGTGTGTGTGTGTGTGTGTGTAACGAATGCACAGCTGCAATTTTCGACGGATTTGCACCAAAATTTACATGCACATGCTCCAAGTTAGTTGGAAGGCCAAGACCGACTTTGCATTTCCCAACTCCCATCGATAGTGGAAATAATCGATTTTTTCATGCTTCTACGGCAGTTTTCATGTAGTTTGCGGCCATTTTCTACTGGCCAGAGTGAGAGCCTATAGCTGACTGCCACGAATAGGCAGGAAGATTCTATTGGCGAGCGTTAGAGCCAACAGCTGACTGACACGAATTTTAACTAGCATGCTAGCATGCAAAAAAATCGATAGCTGCATTCGTCACAAATGGAAAAAATTTAAATCTGCATGACACTTTACTTCAATTGGCTCATTCGCTTGCTTAAACTCAATGTTGATTCTGATTCCGCAGAACTGGGCTAGATGTGAAAAAGTATTTGCTGTTGACATTGCTTTTTCATTCGGTTTTTCCAGTTACGAGTCCTTTTATAAAACTGATCGTTTTGTGTTCATTTTGTTTTGTTCTTTTTTCGTAACAGATTTATTGTTCAGTATAGAGCTTAGAAAAATTCGCAGTGTGAGATAGGCAAGAAGCAAAGCATGTAGCAACATCAGCACGACAAAGGGCACTCCTTTAAAGGCAAGGAAGGGCAAAAAATTTTAAGTCAAGTGATAGCAAATGCTGTATGTGTCGTACGATTTTTGAATCAAGCACGGGCAACGCCGGGCCATGCTGCTAGTCATTTATATTATTTGAGCTGTATGTAGAGCCGAGATCGAATTCCAGTCGAATCCATTACATTCACTTGCTATTAACCTTGGGAAAGTTATGAATCCTCCTCTTCTTCTCCCCTCTTATGGGTAAATAGCAGAACAGACCGGGTTCTATCACGGGTTGCATGGCAACTGGTCTACCGCAGAAAGAAATGGCAACCTACTACAGGGGAAAAAAATCTGCTTCGTCTGTCATGTATCGAAAGATATATGATCGCCTAAGCGTGTATCACGCATGCACATCACTGACTGAT